AGCAGAGCTAAAACTCTTATGAATAGCAGTAAAAGACTGTTTTATATATTACTGGAAAATTTTACGAATAGCAGTGAAACATTGTCTGATACAGTGTCAGAAGATGAGCTCCTCAGAATGGAAGGCACTTAAAATACAACTGGAGGAGAGTTGCTTCCTCAAAGTAGAGTTGTCCTTAATGACCTGAGTGGAATAAAGCTTTCAGGACTTTGATTTGCTGATGTGGCATGACTCAAAAATGAAAAGAAACAGCTGTAATATCCATTAATAATAGGAATGTGGAATGCATGAAGTATGAATCTAGGAGAATTGGAAGTTGCCAAAAATGAAATGGAATGCATAAAGATTGATATCATAGGGATTAGTGAGTCAAATGGGTTGGTATTGGCCATTTTGAATCAGACAGTCATATGGTCTGCCATGCTGATAAAGACAAATTGAAGAGGAATGGCATTGCATTCATCGTTAAAAAGAACATTTCCATATCTGTCCTGAAGTGCAGTGTTGTCAATGATGGATAATATGCATACGGCTATAAGGAAGACCAACAGCAGTGAGTTTGGTTTTTGGTTTTGGTGTAGGGAAGACCAGTTAATCCTACTACTATTCAAATTTTCACACCAACTACTAAAGCAAAAGTTGAAGAAATTGAAGATTTTTACCAACTTCTGCAGTCTGAAATTGACTAAACATGTAGTCAAGACATACTGATGATTGCCGATGATTGGAACTTGAAAGTTGGAAACAAAGAAGAATCATTGGTGGTTGGAAAATACATCCTTGATGATAGAAATGATGCTAGATAGAATGTGCTGCATGATAGAATTTTGCAGGATTATTTATTCGTTGCAAATACCTTTTTTCAACAATGTAATTGGTGGCTGTATACATGGACCTTGCCAGATGGACTATACAGAAATCAAATCAGCTACATCTGTGGAAAGAGATGTGGGAGAAGCTCAATATCTTCTTCGGCCAAAATGAGGCCAGGAGTTGACCGTGGAATAGACCATTGATTATTCATATGCAAGGTCAAGTTGAAGCTGATGACAATTAAAACAAGTCCATGAGAGCCAAAAAATGACCTTGATTAAATCTCACCTGAATTTAAAGACCATGTGAAGAATGGACTTGACACATTGAATACCAGTGGCCAAAGACAGACGACTTGTTGATGATGTTAAGAATATCATACATGAAGAAAGCAAAGGTCATTAAAAAAACAAGGAAGAAAAGACCAACAATGGATATTAGAAGAAACTCTGAAACTTCTCTTGAATGGCTAGTAGCTAAAGTGAATGGAAAAAAATGATGAAATAAAAGTGCTAAACTGAAGATTGTAAAGGGAGGCTTGAGAAGACAAAGTGAAATGCTATAATGAAATATGCAAAGACCTAGACGAAACTTAAATGAAGAACACCCTTGGCATTTCTCAAGCTGAAAGAGCAGAAGAAAAATTCAAGCCTCGCATTGCAATACTGAAACATTCCAAGGGCAAAATACTGATTGATGCAGGATGCATAAATATAAGGTGGAAGGAATACACAGAGTCATTGTACCAAAAAGAATTGGTCAGCATTCAGCCATTTTAGGAGGTAACGTATGATCAAGAACCAGTGGTACTGAAGGAAAAAGTCCAAGCTGCACTGAAGGAATTGGTGAAAAACAAATCTCCAGGAGTCGACAGTCTACCCGTGGAGATATTTCAACAAATGGGTGCAGCATTGGAGGCAGTTGCTCATTTATGCCAAGAAATTTGGAAGACAGCTGTTTGGCCAACTGACTGAAAGAGATCCATATTGATGTCTATTCCAAAGAAAAGTGATCCAACAGAATTCAGAAATTATTGAACCATATCATTAATGCAAGTAAAATAATAAGATAATACAAAAACATTTGCAGCAGTACATCAGTAGGGAACTGCTGGAAATGCAAGGTGGATTTAGAAGAGGGTGTGGAACAAGGATGGTATTGCTGATGTCATATATACCTTGACTGAAAGCAAAGAATAACGGAAAGATGTCTACCTGTGTTTTATTGACTATGAGAGGGACTTGACTGAGTGGATCATAGCAAATTATGGATAACATAGTGAAGAATGGGAATTCCAGAACACTTACGTGTGCTCATAGACCAAGAGGCAGTCGTCTGAACAGAACAAGAGGATACTGCATGGTTTAAAATCAAGACAAGTGTGTATCATGGTTGTATTCTTACACCATACTTATTCAGACTGTATGCTGAGCAAATAATCTGAGAAGATGGACTATATGAAGAAGAGCACAACATCAGGATTGGTGGAAGATTTACTAACAACCTACAATACGCAGATGACACAACCTTGCTTGCTGAAAGTGAAAATGACTTGAGGCACTTACTGACAAAGATCAAAGGCCTTGAGTATGGACTACACCTTAACGTAAGGAGAACAGAAATCCTCACAACTGGACCAATAAGCAACATCATGATAAATGGAGAAAAGATTGAAATTGTCAAGGATTTCCTTTTACTTGAATCTACAATCGAAGCTCATGGAAGCAGCAGTCAAGAGATCAAACGTGGTATCACACTGAGCAAATTTATTGCGAAACACCTTTGTCAAGTGTTAAAGAGCAGAGATGTCACTTTGAAGACTAAAATACGCCTGACAAAGCCATGCTATTTTCAGAGCCTCACGTGCATGTGAAAGCTGGACAATGAATAAGGAAGAGCCAAGAAGAATTGATGTGTTTGAATTATGGTATTGACAAAGAATACTGAAAATACCATAGACTGCCAGGAAATTGTACAAATCTGCCCTGGACAAAGTGCCTCTGGAATGCGCCTTAGTAAAGAGAATGGCCAGATTTCGTCTCATGTACTTGGTCGTGTTGTCAGAAGGGATCATTCACTGGAGAAGACTGTCATGCTTGGTTAAGTGGGGGGTCAGTGAAAAAGGGAAGACCCTTAATGAGATGGATTGAGACTGGCTGTGGAGATTGGCACAAGCATAGCTAATATTGTGAGGATGGCGCGGGACAGGGCATTGTTCCATTTTGTTGTACATAGGTTTGCTAGGAGTTGGAGCAGACGACAACACCTAACAACAGCACATTTAACCTGAGTAGATGTTACAAATAATAATGTTGTTGTTGTTGTTGTTATATGCCGTCGAGTCGGCCCCGACTCATAGCGACCCCTCCTTGGGTTTCCGAGGCAGTATCACTACGGAAGTAGGATTGCCCAACCTTCCTTCCGAGGAGTGGCTGGTGGGTTTGAACCACCAGCCTTCTGGTTAGCAGTCAAGTGCCTTAGGCACTATGCTATCAGTGCTTCTACAGATAATAATACAACACCAAAATTGATGAATCGTGTGCTTAATTTTAACTTGCTGGAAGGTAAGACTGCTGAATGCTAGTCTAACAGTTTAAAGGGTACTAGGTATGTTTCCTACATTGTTCATTTCACCTATTTTGGTAGCGGCCAAGTGTTAGGTTTTTCATTACATTCTAAAAGTGTAACAGTGTTTGTGGTAGTTAGGTTTGTGTGTCAACTTGGCTGAACCTGGTTGAGTGGCTGGGCAGCTGTACCTTGACTGAAAGCAAAGAATAACAGAGTAGTATTCTCCATGATGAGAGCAGTAATCAACTCCATGGTGGAATCTACTGTGAGCAGCTGAGTAGCTGCCCTAGGGATGTGGTCTGCTTCCTGTGTATAAGGAGAAGCCTTGGAGAATGGTCTGTAGCTTATGACATGCTTGGACCCTGTATGTAGCCAGCCATGTCATTGTTCAGCAGCCTGCCGTGCTGTGCTGACCTTGGGATTTACAGTGGACTTGAATTATTGGCCTGCCGTGTGGATTGGTAACATTGGGACTATGCCATTGTATTTGTCAACCTTAGGCTTGTTAGTCTCAGCAGCTGCCTGAGTGAAGAGATGCCTAGTGGGTTAGGAGCAAGAGGCAGAGCTGAAGCCCAAGATCGAGGGGCTTGCACACAGCCACTAGAGTCTGGCACTTTGAACATGGACTTCTAACCTCCAAAAACTGTAAGAGAATAAACTCCTATTTGTTCCAGCCATCCTGTTGGTGGTATATTTCTGTCAGAGTGGCACTAGGTAACCAAAACAGTGTGTTATAACTGTTTGTTCTGTTTTAATGATTTTGTGATACAAAGTTGCTTTGACAGGCTGTCCCTAGTGGCTCTGTTCCCTTATGATGAGAGTGGAATGGGTCATGAAAAGTATACTATTTATTTTCTGTTTGCAGGCAAGATTATCCAAAACCTAATATTTTGCAATTCTGTTTTAAAAATACAAAGATACCTTCTATCCTAAGTAACTTCTCAAGTATAGCTAAATTAAATCTCTTCTGCTGTTGCTTCCCCTTTTCATTTCTTGGTTGAGATGGAGGATAACTGTCAATGTCATTTTGTTGACCAAAGAGTTCTTTGAAGAAACGTATAGTGGGAGCAAAAAGACTGAAAAAGCAAGAAAATTAGGGAGAGGAAAATCAGGGACCATCTCAGATACTTATTCCACAGTAATTGTTACTTAGGGGATGTTTCTAGGAATTAACTGTTAGAATATTCCTACTATGCTATTCTGTATTTATATTTATGTTAAAATATGTATTGAATTAGTTGCTTTTTAGGAGTCTTTTTTTTTTGTTTTCTGTCCATATGTGGTCATCACCATTTATTTACCCTTGAATCCAGTGGGCTCTCTTTGCTTCATTATTATTATTTTAAAAATATTCAATTATATGTTACGAATTTTATAATCATAATATTAAGTCATTTCACAAATTATCTAAGTAAGGGTAAAGGAATGGTCCTTTTAAAAAAGTGAGATAGTGCAGGTTTTTATTGTGAAATATTTTTTGATAAAGTCTTTTACATTTAGTAACTCCTTGGATGAGAATATATTATTTCCTTTTTGTCCTTAGAGATATGTTTTTTTTTTTTTCCTTCCTCTTCTAAAGTAACTTGGCGTTAACTGAAAAATCTTTCTTTATCTTTAAGGCTTTAGGGGACCAGATACTGTTTGTAAATCGTCCTGATAAGAAGAAAATTCTTTTTTTCAATGATAAGAGCTGTCAGTTTTCTGTGGATGAAGGTAAGCCTCTCTTTATAGGCATTTTTTTGAGTTCATAAGTCTATTACAATTTGAGTGATAAAACTTACAATATTTATAATATAGTTATCAGTTAAAATAACATTGCTTTTTTTAAGCATTATCATCTCTTAGAATATCTTAATGGCTCCAATGTCTAACATATTGTTTCTCAGAATGTAATTTGAAATATTTTAGATTAATTGTACTTGGAATCCTGGTATAATGGTTCATGATTTCTTCCCTCAACTGTATGAAAAGAAGTTTATTTCTTTATGTTTATTATTTTACAAATATAACTTGATATGAAAGCTTGATACACGTTTGGAAAAGGAACAGACTTCTTTTAGTTACTTGGGTTCTGTCTGTTAAATAACTTGCAAACCTTTTGATTATCAGATTGAGTAAGGAAGAAGTTAACTTTTTTCTGTATGGCAGTTTCAGTGTTAGATGCCAAGTGATAATGTTGAATCTCTTACTAAGTGTAAGATTGCTGTATTTTGGATTTTAATTTTAAATATTTGGACAGTACTTTTCATATAGATATTAATTAAACAAGGGTTGTGATGAGAAATTTCTTTGCTTATACAAATAGAAATCCTCTTTTAAGGAAATAGATAATATTTTAGGGCAAATTTATATTGTTTTTGAAATTCTATAAAAATGGCAAAAAATAATTGAATATTAGGTCAGTTATAAAATTTCAAAAATAATGTAAGCTCACAAAATATTCTAATAATATAGGTGTGCAATGGAGAGAAAACTGGTAATTTTAAGTTCTAAATAGTGAAATCTTTGTTGTAGTCTGCCTATTAATTATGTTGATTATTTTTTAAGGCATTCAGTAAAAATCATTTTATTAAATGAACAAGTTTTGAGCAAATGCATTTACAAATCTTATTATCTGTTATCTAGCTCTTTACTCAGCTTGGAGTTATTAGATGTCTATGATTTGTTTTAGGAATTAGAATGTTGTGTTCTTTGTCAAAATTGTGTAAATGCCTTATAAGCAGATGATAAACTTCTGTGTATTATAGTGATAGATACCAATTTATCAAAGGTTTGGATACTGCTTAGCAAGTTTTGTATTGCTTTGAATCTACTTTATTTGGAATTTCACCTTTACTATGAGATACTTACAGGTTGCCCTCAATTTCTAAATAGCCAAAGGCTGTTAGATAAAGGCAAACAAACCCAAACCAAACCCACTGCCATTGAATCAGATCTGACTCATAGTGACCCCTCCTTGGGTTTCTGAGTCAGTATCACTACTGACGTAGATTGCCCAACCTTCCTTCCAAGGAGTGGCTGATGGGTTTGAACCGCCAGGCTTCTGGTTAGCAGTCAAATGCCTTAGGCACTGTGCCGCCAGGGATCCCAGATAAAGGGCACCAACAAGTAATGATGATTCATCTGTGAATATTATGTCCTTCTGATGAGAGCCTGAGCATACTAGATGGCTTCCAGAGCATTAACACATGAGAAGTAGTTTTCATTACTTACAACAAGAAGCAGACAGCATACAACAGGACATAATTTTTTTCCCCCATGACTCTAACTGTATTCACAGATATATTTGTAGCACATATAAATAGTATGTAGAGATGGCTTCTGTCAAACCAATATATATTTGTGGGTATTTGTTGTTGTTGTTATGTGCCGTTGAGTCATACCCAACTCATAGAGACCCCTCCTTAGGTTTCCAAGGCAGTATCACTATGGAAGTAGATTGACCAACCTACCTTCCGAGGAGTGGCTGGTGGATTTGAACCACCAGCCTTCTGGTTAGCAGTCAAGTGCCTTAGGCACTACTCTACCAGAGCTCCCATTTGTGGGTATAAACCAAGACAAATTTTGATCCATTTTTTTCAAGCCATCCCCCTGACTTAGAGAATGCTCTCAGGGCGATTCTTCTACTCATACCCCACTTTGTACCATAGGCAAGGGACTTGAAAAGGGAGCCTTGTCTTCTGCTGATACTCCCAGACCAGGTAGGTTTAGTTACATGGACTGAAAATTTGTGTTGCATGTGTTCTACGTAGTACGATAGCCAACAGACAGAGAAAATTCCTTGGCCAGCCCTTTTTAATACCCTCAAAGCCAGGCACCAGCCAAGAAAAATATCTTTCTAACCCCTCTAATAAATGTCAGGCCTCAGAGAGGGTTGTTCTGAAGCCTTATCAAGCTACCTCCCTTCCTGAGGCTTGTTACCAAGGTGATGAGTTGGCTACTCCCAACTCATTTGCATGTGGTTAAGTGTTGCTTGGCTATTTTAAAGTGTTGCCTTGATTGCTGGCAAATTCCAAGCGCTGTTTTTCAGAAACCTGAGAAAAAACGGCCAAAAACCTAGTTCTTTGTTCCAGATATGTAAACTTTTGTAGCTGTCAAATTTCTTTCTTTCTTTCTTTTTTTAAATACAGGGATGGACTTAATTTTTAACTCTTTTGAGCTTAAAAAGAAAGATTTTTTTTGTATTCTTAGGCATAGTTAATGCATTTGGAGGAAAATTGAAGTTAAAAAGAAAACTTAATCACCAGTATCCCATGCTCAAATATTAAGGACTATACTATAATAAAAAGGTGTGCTTTTGCCCTTCTCTAGTACTAGACGGTCTCTTATGACAGATGCTTATCTGGCTTTATTTTATATTATTCTGGTGGTTCCTCCCCACCATATTTGTAAATAATATTTGTACTGTTGTTCTTTATTCTTTAAACATTGTCTAATGATTTATTCTTATCATCTCTCTGATTACAACACTGTCTGCCCCTGTACTTCCCATATTGTTATACCATTTACCTTTGGCAAATAAATATATTCATGGGTATAGACAACAATACAAATTGTGATCCTTCAACAAACAACATACTGAAACTTACTAATGGAAATTTTTTGTATTAAGTCAACTCTGTAGATGGCAGCATAGTGTAGCATATGTTCTGTAAGTAGATCTTTAAATTAAGGCAAGTAGCTAATAAGACTCTGGTAGCATAGTGGCTAAGACACTTTGCCTGCTAACCAGATGGCTGGCGGTTCAAACCCACCAGCCACTCCTCGGAAGGAAGGTTGGGCAATCCTACTTCCGTAGTGATACTGCCTCGGAAACCCAAGGAGGGGTCGCTATGAGTCGGGGCCGACTCGACGGCACATAACAACAACAACAACAGCTAATAAGAAAGAGACTGTTGTAGTTTTGTGAGGGTGTAACATGAAACTTTAGGGTTTCTGGGTAGTATTTCATTGGACAAATTTAAGAGTATATTTTACATTCAGCAGTGGCATACCCAGATACTCTTAGAATCTTCACACTAGGCCATTACCATTTTCTGTCCCTGTGTGCTCCTTCTGTGGTCACCATTGTGAACTTTGCTTCCCTTTTTCCTGTTTGAATTTATTTTTATTTATTTTTTTTACTTATACTCTGTTCCTTAACATTACCCCTATTTTCATTTGCCATTTTATATGGGCTTTGTTGGCCTAAACTCCTCCCCATCTCCTTATTACTTAGCTGACAGGGACAAAATGAGGACTTTTACTGTTTTTTTTTTTTTAAGATTATAAAAATAATCATATATGCCTATTAGTAAATTCTTACACATTGAAGGATAAGTTCTATTTTAGTTTGGTATTTATTCTTCTAGTTTACTTCTCTGCATTATAGATATTATATATGGCTATTTACTATTCCGTTGTATAGGTTTACTTGATGGATAGATTTTAAAATATTTAACAATGCTACTACAAATATCCTTACACATACGTCTTGGATATGTGTGTATCTTTTTTTTATTAATGAATTAGCCATATATTTCTTCATCTAGAAGTTTTGACCACCAGTCAGTTTGCCATATTGTGGTGGCTTGTGTGTTTCTGTGAGGCTGGAGGCTATGCCACTGGTGTTTTGGATACCAGCAGGATCACCCATGATGGACAGGTTTCAGCAGAGCTTCCAGACTAGGACAGACTCAGAAGAAGGAAGAGGCCATCCACTTCTCAAAGAATTGACAAGTAAAAACTTAATGAGTGGCAGTGAAACATTGTCTAATGTATTACTGGAAAACTTTAAGAATAATCCTGAGACATTGTCCGATGTGTTGCCAGAAGATGAGCCCCTCAGGTCGGAAGGCATTCAAAATATGACTGGGGAAGAGCTGCCTCCTCAAAGTAGAGTAGACTTTAATGAGGTGGATGGAGTAAAGTGTTTGAGTCCTCCGTTTGCTAATGTGGAATGACTCAAAATGAGAAGTAGCAGCTGAAAACATCCATTAATAATTGGAACATGGAATGTATGAATCTAGGAAAATTGGAAGTTGTCAAAAATTAAATGGAACACATAAAGATAGATACTATAGGCAATTAGTGAGCTGAAATGGACTGGTTTTGGCCGTTTTGAATCAGACAACCATATGATCTACTATGCTGGGTATGACAAATTGAAGAGGAATGGTGTGGCATTCACCGTCACAAAGAATGTTTCAAGATCTATCCTAAAGTACAATGCTGTTGGTGATAGGATAATATCCATCTAACTACAAGGAAGGCCAGATAATACTAATGCACCAACCATCAAAGCCAAAGATGAGGAAATTGAAGATTTTTACCAACTTCTGCAGTCTGAAGTTGACCAAACATACAATCAGTCAAGATGTGTTGATTATCACTGGTGATTGGAATGCAAAAGTTGGAAATGAAGAACCACCAGTAGTTCGAAAATATGGCCTAGGTGATAGAAATTACACTGGAGGTTGCATGCTAGAATTTTACAAGACCAATGACTTACTCATTTCAAATACCTTTTTTTAACAGCATAAATGGTGTCTGTACACATGGACTTCTCCAGATGGAGTACACAGGAATCAGATCGAATACATTTGTGGAAAGAGCCAATGGAGAAGCTCAATTTCTTCAGCCAAAATGAGGCCAGGAGCTGACTGTGGAAGACCATCAGTTGCTCATATGCAAGTTCAAGTTGAAGCTGAAGACAATGAAAAGAAATTCACAAG